CAACAGAAATGGAGAGAGGATGGCCTCTTGCAGCACACCCAAAATGACGGGAAATGTTGAATGAGTATTTTTTTTATTAGGACAGGCGAGCTGTTTTCGGCTAGTGAAACAATCACGTACACATTCGGAAACACGAGAAGGGGGGAGGGGGGGACTAAGGTGTAGTGGTATACTCCCAGGTGGCAGATCTGTTTATGTGCTACTAAGTGAGTACCCAGGTAAGTTGCATACTTTTCTGGATTGTTCGAGTGCTGATGCAGTCATAGTCGGTAGGCTTTCTGCGCCTTCAAAGTGTAAAATGTTGCTACAAGATTGGGTTGGCCCAATCCCCAACCTCATCGTAAATGAGGAAATGATTGAAACAGTTTGCTATCCGGGTAGCTATATCTCACATGACGGAGGAGTCACGGAAGAAGTGTCGGCAAGCATACAGAATGCTCGGTTAGTATTTNACATTCCGCTGTCCTTGAAGGGTCGAGTATATACTACAGAAGTTCGGCCAAATCTGATTTACGGTGCACAAACTCGTTAATCTATTCATTATTCTTGCAACCCGCAGTCTTCAGGTAATCTCATCTTTCCCTTGCATTTTCTCGCAGTATTCTAATTTTTATTCTACTTTTTTATATGAACGGGCAGCCAAAAGATAGCAACCGAAACGGGCTCACGAAAGTGCATGGTCAATGGTTGTAAGAACTGAAAATGTAGGGGTTTGGCAAGGAGTGTAGTAAGTTTCTCAAAATACTGATCAAAGGTATTTATATAAAAACAAACAAAACAAAAGGACACGAACTAGTTTGCGGTCTATAGCGTGTGTAGTAAAGTGCAATTGACAGTTGACGTGAGAATGCTGTTTGCAGCGTGCACACTGATTGGAGTCCCGGATGTTTAGCAAGCATGTAAAGCCACGGGTTAATATGCATTTCAGTATTGATGTTGAGACGACTGGGTTGAACTTTTCTCTTTTGTTCTCCGGGATATGGGAATGGCCCACCACGAGCCCTCTGTTTGATGGTCGGAGAAACAACAAGTAAAAAAATAACTGACAAAGTTGGATCAAAGTGATTCGCAAAATCTTTTCAGATAACTAGAGGGAAGTCATCAGGTCCAGCGTCTTTATTGAAGTTCAGTTCGTCAAGAGCACCTTCTTAGAAGACAGTGATAGGATTGTGTGACCGGTTGCAGCGTTCATGTCGCAAGACAAATCAACAGGCGGATCGTTAAGCTGCTCTATGTTGTACAAGGTATTTGCAAGCCGAGAAGAGCGGTCATAAAACAGTTTCCAACCTATTCAAAGCTTATTCCGCAGGATATTATTGACGTACAGTTTTAAACTAACCTACATATTCCAAGATTCGGTTGCTTAACGATGTCACCGTTAGCTCGTCCGCAAATGCATAGACTTATTCTTGGTGGTATCATAGTCATCTCGGTTTTTCGGACAGCAGACGATCTGGGAGAAATAGAATTCTCAAGGCGAGGCAATAGTCCCAGTAAGGATCTAGATCGGAAGTTTCAATCACAGCTTACAAGTTAGCCAGGTTATCCGGATGGGGTAGCCGCATATAGAATTTACGGTTGAGTGACTTGGTTAACCTTTTACCGATAAATTATCGAACCAGTTGTGCTTGCACGGAATGCAGACGGAAAATTGGCAAAACAAATCGATCAAAGTGAACATTGGTCCTGATGGGTAAACCGACAGTGTTGTGGAAAGACGTAAGTGTAGGAGACGTTCATCTTCTGTGTGAAGCTAACCAGCCACGATAAAAATTGTCGTCTACAACGTTTGAAGTAACACAGTTTAGAATGAATTAAGGAACAGAGGAGATGCTTAGGAAGGATCACAGTGGGGGGTTATGCGTAGGTTCAATATGATAATGTTTCACTGAGAAACGAAGGCTAAATTTCAGTTCAGGATGAATCAGACACGTGCTTTCGGTGTACGCTCAACCGATAGCTTTATGTAACCTAAGGTTGATTCAAGGAAAGTACATGAAGAAGGAGGGAATCAGGTAACTACATACAGCCTCAGGTGGTGAGTTTCGTTGAATACGTCAAGCAACGATCTGTCTGAAACCTACATTCGGAACATTTTTAGGCGAAGGTATTGGCGGATGCAACAGAGAATAAGTAGCATGCACAACAATTTTCTCGTTTGTTCCCAAAGAGATGATAGGAAATGAAAAGTGTAAACAATGTTTCCCACATTGGAATTCGTGAGGACACAACATAGGAATGCAAGATGTCCTGTGCACTGACAAATTGACAGTGGCTCGGACGCTACAATCCCATTGAATCCTGTATCTGTACCAAGATTTCCCTATATATGTAACCGCCTGAAATAGTTTGGCAGATACTAGTCGTATTCTTGGTTAAAAATTTAACGAGTTCAGCAAGATTCGAACCCATGTGTGGACGCCGCTCCTCCAGCCCAGCTAAGAGGCCGAAACGGTAGCACTGATCTTTCCACATTCGGACCTCTCATCCAACTTACCCAGGCATATGGGATACCCCGAGTGGCATAGCGGCGTCCATGAATCAGCTCAACCCCCCCTTCTTAGGCTACTGAACTTTTCACTATTGGAACTAAAAGTGATACAAGTAATATATCCGAACTTGGTTCGCCCCCCCCCCCCCCAAAAAAAAAACCGTGCTATTTCGATCGGTGGAATTTGAAGAATACTGGAAAGCAACAATCGGAGAAATGTGATAGTGAGGATGCGATCGATTGATCATTGCACAAGACATCTTACATCTTCCAGTTAATCTTTTGAATAAACAAGAAGGCCTGAAAAGAAAATATCCCCTCCGAAAGCAATCTATCACATTGTTCTGGCAACAGAGAGAAAGAGCGAGTTAACACTCACCTGTGAACCACAGCAACCGGAAGTTGTACGATGTTCTTCATTGTCTGTTGGTTTGTTGAGCAATGTGGTCGGTTTGTAGGATTCCTGATCATTTAGTCGAATGCAACTCAAAGAGTTCTCCGCCCCTTGGTCCCCGTAGGCCACCGGCTCGCGTAGTCGGTAAGGAAAATCGGCACAGTTTCGTCGGTCCGGCAAGACGGAAATGCAACAACCGTTCGTCACAGCAGCCAAATTCGTACCGGTGACGGAATTTCGATTACGTGACCTGGACTGAGGAGGCGGGCAAGAGAGAGGAAAAGGTGGAACTGTTTCGCGATTCGCTGTGATGAAAAAGCAGTTGCAGAGTGTCAGTAGTTGGAACTCATACGACCGTTGTTGGCATCGCGAGGAAAAATAGACCAATTTGAGCTATATATGAGTTCCAAAGTTGGATGATTTCGTATTTTTCAGAGGAATTACTTGCCACTGAGTGAATTCAGAGTTCACATCTGTGTACGCGACGAGAACGGTGACACGATGAAGCATTCCGCGTAATTTTACAAATACTCCTTGGTGAAAAGAGTAGCACAAAAATTGTACTGTGCAAGAAAAAACTTCTTCGCTATCATAATTTATTCTACTTAGTTGAACAAATCAGTCAAAAATACTCCGGAGGCGTCAAGGATGACGACGGATCACCAAGCAACCCCACACACTTGTATTTGTGTAAGTTGTGTAAGCTAAGCAACGTGAACACTGTCGCTGAAGTTTGTTTCATGTACACGAATTCGGAATGAATTCACTAAACCTATTCCTTATTGGTCATGAGTGGGGTCCGGTAGGTTACCCGTTAATTCTTATCAATGGTAAAACTAAAGGTTAAAGGAAGAAATGGGGTCATCGACTGTTAGATCTATGCATCTATGTGCTGGCGGATAACAGGATTGTGGCCTACTGAGGTTTGGTGTTTGACCAAACGTGTAACAAAACTCCTGAAAGAGAGAGAGATTCATTCAAATCGGATAATCGATAAACTTCCACAATAGTTTTGACTGATGATTCTAGGCTTGAAAGAGGAACTAAAATAATTGTATTTAGCATTGAAACCGAATTGCATAATCAGGGGATCAGTGCTTGTAAACGGAAGCATGAAATTCGAACTGCATAATCCTTCGCTGTTTGGATTTTGAAAACCAACTTGCTCGATGTGAAACAGCGGTCAAATCTTTGCGACCTGTTTGTTTAACCGTCAATTGACACCACGCGTACCGTCATTAGTGGAAAGTCGTCGAGCGGAATTCTGTTTATCTTGAGGAATACATAGAACCTGACATAAAAACCTGTGTTGTTAAGATTAATAAGCAGTGGTATTGCACGGTGTTGACAGTCCCGTACAATGAACCCACTTCCGACAATGTTGGCATGATTAAGGCATCAGAAGTGTGAACTGATTCCAATACACTGTTACGAAAACATGTTGAACAGTGCGTCTGCTATACGTCGGAACAAACTTCATGAGTCCAGCGGATGTTCCCTCACAGTTCTCCCGAATCAATTTCGGTAATAGTGTTCCATGCTTGTTAGGCAGATAAATTGTCGCGCAGTTTGGTTTGATTTGGTTATCGGTCAAAGGTTTGGGATGAGTAAACAGAGCAATACAGGTCAGCATGTGACAACCAAAAAGGAAGAAGTTTGGTTAAAGTCGAGTTCCGTTGTTCCCATGGATTGTCACACACTGCACATCCGGCCCACACGATGAACGAACAGGGATACATTCGTTCTCGCGTGTTCTCCGATTCGTTGGTTTCTTCAATTAAATGTGACCGCGAACGTTTAAAAAACAACGTGGATCCCGGGTGGTCAAATTACCAGGCCATATAGCTTCCGAAGCCACTATCTACGTCGCAACTAGATGAATCCATGGCAATCAATATTTGAGTTAGATGATATGTTATTAATCGTTTCTCGGCGTCAACAGAACGTAAGCAACACATAAATGTCTCTCAAATCTCCAAAGGACAGCTTTCGGTCACAAAAAACTGAGAAGATCGCAGGATAAACGAAAAATGATGACAAAGCAAAGGGATTGGGCCAGGAACATGATACTTCTGAGCAAATACAAAAAGCAAAACTAGGACTTGTTGCATTAATAAGAAAACTCAAAGCGGGAAGAGGGTAGAAATAAGGAATGTAAAACGAACGTTGTCGAATAGGTCTTTTTGACTGTGACAACAGTAAGCGTGACGATGATCAGTCCCGATGATTAATGGTACTACAGTCATCGTTTGCGCATACGAACAAATTGCAATGCTTGCTCACTTGAGGTTACAAGCGTGCCCGATGCACACGAAATGCAGTTTGTTAGTTTATTTGGATCACGTGATTGACCGAACGTTGGTCCCAGATATGTCCTAATGAAATAGGGTAGGGCGTACCGTATGACAAAACAGCAATGATCGAAATTAGTGTCCTTTTCAACCCAAAACTCCAACTGCTCCTAGAGCCAGCAACGGACACAAATCGATCACATCGCGATAAGTTCCAAATGGCAGGGCTGCATAAAAGACTGTCGATCGTACTGGAGAACTTCCCTCGAATCTGACCACGCTTTGGTATGTGCCAAGCTGTCCATGTGCTTCGGTGGGCGTTCCAAATGCACGACACAACGACAGCTAGACTGTGATAAGCTGTCCAAACCAGCATGTCAAACTGTCTTCCAAAACGCGCTAGCTGAAAAGTTGGAACCAACCCCACCCGACAATGTCAACCAGCACTGGTCGCTTATCAAGAATGCTCTGCATTCTGCTAGCTTAGTTGTGGTCTGACACATCGCGCCGTGACACTCTGGATCTCTACGGAGTCTCTACGCCTTCTTGACGCACGTCGATCAATTCCGACCGGCAGCGAGCATAAGCACAACTCATAACGAGACGTGAACTTAATGCAAGCCCACGCAGAGACTGCGAGATTTGGTGGTCTCAACGCACATCAGAAATGGAACGTGTTGCCACCATGGGTAATTCCCGTAAGCTGTTCCATCTCATCAGGGTTACCGGTAGGAAAGCCTTGGGTGTGAGCGAAACGATCTGCGAAAATGACGGGTTACCCATTTACAATCAACAGCGACGCCCAGCACGCTGGGCGGAGCACTCCAAAGCACAATTTAGCTGGCCACCAGTGTCGGCTTCTCACACAGCTATTGCGACACAAGTCCCATGGTCTGTATCAACAGAACCACACTCTGAGGCCTAAATCCTTAAAAAAATAAAAAGCATTGGGATGTCACAAATCGCCCGGCTTCGACGGCCTTCCCCCAGCTCTATCTAAAGATGGCGAACTCAACCTTGTCAGTGAACTACAAGTTCGATTCTTTTAAGTGTGGAACACTGTGCAGGCCCACTCTTCGTGGGTGGAATCGATTGTCATCCCCATGTTCAAAGAGAACCCACGCAATGACTGGGCCAATCGTATGGATATAAGCCTTATCCCAATAGCGTCGACGCTGTTAGCGTCTGTCACTCTCCGCCGATTGTGCACTATGCGTGAGTAGCAAACCCGCGAGGAGCAGACTGGGTTTCGCGCCGGTAGTGTATGCATCGATTAAATCTTCACCCTCCGACAGCTGCTAGAGCACCGTTGTGCCTATGAAAGACCAACGATCATTGCATCCTTAGATATCTGCGCGGCCTTCGACTCTAACGATAGGACCGCACTATGGAACTGTTTGTTGAGAAATGGGGTACCTGAGAAGCATGCGTCGATCCTTAAAGAGTTGCATCGTCATACCTCAGGTCGGGTTAGGACCTATGGGCAACTTTTGCCTTCTATCACCGTCTTCAGTGGAGTTCGGCAAGACCACCCTATATCCACATTCCTTTTCAACTTTGTCATAGAGGATGTTCTACAGAATGCTTTGTTCGGTCTAGCAAATAGTGGAGTCCAATTGCTCCCAGGGAATAGAGTTCTTGACTTAAGATAAGTCGAAATCGCTTTGCTGGATGACAACACACAGGCAGTCCAAAACGCTTTGAACCGCTTGGCGATCGAGATATTCCAGTATGATATGTGCTTCGCACCTTCCAAGTGCAAAGTGCTGGTTCAAGATTGCATTAAGACTCTAATTACCAATGATACATTACCATATCGACTTGTTTGTTATAGATACGTTTCACTGTATTTTCCCCGGTTTCTTCCTCGGCGGTTTCAGGTTACCGGATACAAATGAATAAATCAATATCACCGAGAAACAGAAAGAGTATTAGTCAGATTTTTATCATGGAAATAATATTATTGCTCAGCGGAGGCAAGACCCCATAATTTTCAGTAATCAATAAGGATGCACGTGTTGCCGTAGGTGTGTGTGTGCGGCTAATTTAGTCAAATTGCTGATCATTAAACCCTAATGGAGACGTAATTGTTGACGATTAGCAGCATAAACTTCTGATTGGTAAACACCAAGTTCAATGT